TTTCCTCAGAAAGCTCATACCCAAGAGCTCATACCCATTTTTTTTTTTTTTCTCCAAGATTCTCTTACACTGCCACAGGAGAACTAAAATAAAAAAAAAAAAAAGAAATGAATGTTAAAATCTAGTTTGTTCTGTCTAATTACACTATTATGTTAGAACTCCTTAAAACTAATCACCTCTTCCAGATTAATGCCAATATAATGTCTTACATTCAGTCTTATTTTTAACTTTTAAATGCATCATGAATATTGTTTTGTTTTATAATCACTTGCACACGTATTTGCCACTTTGAAAAAAAAAAAATTGGTGGCGAGTATGTGTAGTCCCAGCTACTCAGGAGGCTGAGGCAAGAGAATTGCTTCAAACCAGGAGGCGGACATTGCTTTGAGTCACACCACTGCACTCCAGCCTGGTTGACAGAGTGAGACCCCATCTCCAAAAAAAAAAATTAATAACAAAAATAAAAAAGGAAAGTGCATACTGTATGCCTAACTGTTTATAATTAGAAACTTGATAATTAAATTAGTAATTACCTGAAGTATTTAATTTTTATTCACTTATTTTTGTTGTTTGCTTCATGCTGATGTTGCCAACATTGTTTTTTACTTCCCTGACTTGTGTTCTACCTATTTTTATTCAGACCAGTAGAAAACAGAAGGGATAATTGTAAACATTTTTCATGGTGTTCTACTAGTTAGTTATCACCTAATTTCTCTATTTCTTAGTTTCCAAACCAAGGTCTGCTTATCTTCAAATGTGTATCTTTAAGACTAAAAAAGTGCTTTTGGAAAAATTTTTTCTCTTTTAGTATCATGTTCTAATCACCTTCCATCTTCTGTACCAAGATGTGTCTGAATGCAGTCTTTTCTGAAATGGTTAAGACAAAGATATTCTGTAGCTCATTTATATTAGTCTAAATATAATAGGATAAAATTTTAAAAATGATAAGTTTAGGAATCTCTGCTTTAGAAAATGTTGCTAAGTATGGGACGTAACTTTGATTCTTTTCTTTTGAACCTTTAGGTCCTTTAATCCATTTTTCCCATTACTTGGCTGTTTCACAACACCGGGAGTCCAGCTATGGGCAGTCTGGGCCATGCAACATGTCTGCAGCAAGAATCGTATGTACCACAAAAGAGAACTATGTTTTTTTTTTTCTTTTTTTTTTTTTTTTTTTTTTTTTTTTTTTTTTTGGAGACGGAGTTTCGCTCTTGTTACCCAGGCTGGAGTGCAATGGCGCGATCTCAGCTCACCGCAACCTCCACCTCCTTGGTTCAGGCAATTCTCGTGCCTCAGCCTCCTAAGTAGCTGGGATTACAGGCACGCGCCACCATGCCCAGCTGATTTTTTGTAGTTTTAGTAGAGACGGAGTTTCACTGTGTTGACCAGGATGGTCTCGATCTGTTGACCTCGTGATCCACCTGCCTCGGCCTCCCAAAGTGCTGGGATTACAGGCTTGAGCCACCGCGCCCGGCCGTTTTTTTTTTTTTTCTTTAAGTGTAATTCTCATTTCCCAGGAAAGCTATTTCTAAATCGTGTATTAAAGTGATTTTTGAAGGCCGGGTGTGGTGGCTCACGCCTGTAATCCCAGCACTTTGGGAGGCCGAGGCGGGTGGATCACAAGGTCAAGAGATCGAGACCATCCTGGTCAACACGGTGAAACCCCGTCTCTACTAAAACTACAAAAAATCAGCTGGGCATGGTGGCGCGTGCCTGTAGTCCTGGCTACTCAGGAGGCTGAGGCAGGAGAATTGCCTGAACCCAGGAGGCGGAGGTTGCGGTGAGCTGAGATCGCGCCATTGCACTCCAGCCTGGGTAACAAGAGCGAAACTCTGTCTCAAAAAAAAAAAAAAAAAAAAAGTGATTTTTGGCCAGGCGCAGTGGCTCACACCTGTAATCACAGCACTTTGGGAGGCCGAGGTGGGTGGATCACCTGAGGTCAGGAGTTCAAGACCAGCCTGGCCAACATGGCAAAACCCCATCTCTTAAAAAAAAGTGATTTTTAATAACACTGACTTAAAATGTAAGGCAATTTTAATTTATAAACTTAAGGTATTCTTTCAGAATGAATGTGGTGTAACTAGATATTGAATGACAGTGGTGACTGAGACACTGTTCTCAGCTCATGGAATTTAAAGATCAGGAGACTACAGTGAGTCCATTTGTTTTTTATGTTTTTTTGTTTTTTTGAGACGGAGTTTCGCTCTTGTTACCCAGGCTGGAGTGCAATGGCGCGATCTCACCACAACCTCTGCCTCCTGGGTTCAGGCAATTCTCCTGCCTCAGCCTCCTGAGTAGCTGGGATTATAGGCACGCATCACCATGCCCAGCTGATTTTTTGTATTTTTCGTAGAGACGGGGTTTCACCATGTTGACCAGGATGGTCTCGATCTCTTGACCTCGTGATCCACCTGCCTCGGCCTCCCAAAGTGCTGGGATTACAGGCGTGAGCCACCGCGCCCGGCCAAGTCCATTTGTTGAATAAAGGTCCTAAGTCGATCCACACTGTTTATGGTACATTCCAAGGCCCAATTCTCATTCACCCAAAATTCTGTTGTTCAGGATGTCACTCAGCACCCATGGTTTCTGAAGAAGCAAAGTGTTTGAATCAGGTTCCAAATTATTCTTTGATATCTGTGATGCAGCTCTTATTTATTTATTTATTTAGAGACAGGGTCTCTCTCTGTCACCAGTGCTGCAGTGCAGCAATAAAGTAACAGCTCACTGCAGCCCCAACATCTGTGCTCAGATGATCCTCCTGCCTCAGCTTGTAGCTGGGACTACAAGCGCAAGCCACCATGCCTGGCTTTTTTTTTTTTTTTTTTTTTTTTTTTTGTATTTTTTTGTAGTGATAGGGTTTCATCATATTAGCCAGGTTGGTCTAAAACTCCTAGGCTCAAGCAGTCCGCCTGCGTCGGCCTCCCAAAGTGCTGGCATTACAGGCCATAGCCACCAAGCCTGGCCTACTTATTTATTAATATAAACTCATTCCACAAATGGTTTGACACAAGAATCACACATAACCACTCTAATAGTAAAATATAAATTTTTAATTTCTTTGTTTTTGAGACAGAGTCTCACTTCGTCACCCAGGCTGAAGTGCAGTAGTGTGATCTCGGCAGGTTCAAGCAATTCTCCTGACTCAGCCTCCAGAGTACCTGGGACTACAGGCCTGCACCACCACACCTGGCTAATTTTGTTTGTTTGTTTTTTTGAGATGGAATCTTGCCCTGTCACCCAGGCTGGAGTACAATGGTGATGTGATCTCGGCTCACTGCAACTTTCGCCTCCTGGGTTCAAGCAATTCTGTGCCTCAGCCTCCTGAGTAGCTGGGATTACGGGCACCTGCCACCACACTCTGCTAATTTTTTTGTATTTTTAGTAGAGATGGGGTTTCACTGTCATAGCCAGGCTAGTCTTAAAACTCCTGACCTTGTGATCCACCTGCCTGGCCTCCCAAAGTGCTGGGATTACAGGCGTGAGCCACCACGCCTAGCCAAATTTTTGTATTTTTAGTAGAGACAGGATTTCACCATTTTGGCTGAACTGATTTTGAACTCCTGACCTCAGGTGATCCACCCACTTCAGCCTCCCAAAGTGCTGGGATTACAGGTGTGAGCCACTGCACCTGCTACTTTTAATTTTAATTAAAAGTAAGGAAAAATAAATTTTCAAAAATTATAGGGGCCAAACGCAATGGCTCATGCGTGTAATCCCAGCACTTTGGGAAGCTAAGGTGAGTGGATTGCTTGAGCCCAGGAGTTTGAGGCCAGCCTGGGCAACATGACGAAACTTATTTCTACAATAGATTTAAAAGAAATCGGCCGGGTGCGGTGGCTCAAGCCTGTAATCCCAGCACTTTGGGAGGCCGAGGTGGGTGGATCATGAGGTCAAGAGATCGAGACCATCCTGGTCAACATGGTGAAACCCCGTCTCTACGAAAAATACAAAAAATCAGCTGGGCATGGTGGTGCGTGCCTGTAATCCCAGCTACTCAGGAAGCTGAGGCAGGAGAATTGCCTGAACCCAGGAGGCAGAGGTTGCGGTGAGCCGAGATCGCACCATTGCACTCCAGCCTGGGTAACATAAGTGAAACTTAGTCTCAGAAAAAAAAAAAAAAAAAAAAAAAAAAA